ACGGCTTTGCAGTCTGACACATCAACCCACAGAGCCACACCCTGGGAAACCCTGTACAGGGTTGCTATTAGTCGGAACCGACTCCACGGCACACCACCACTACTTGGCTGGAAATGAAGAACTAAATTACCAGAGTACATTAAGTTCTACAACTGAAGCGCAACCAAAGGCCATAGTCCTAGGTCCCTCTAGTCTCTTTCTGATGTGTGAGCCTGATCTTTTTTTATACTTTTAAGTGTTATTCCATATTTTCTCACATCCCTCCACCTTCTTTTGATGCTTCCTATGCCGTTCAATATTTTACCCATAAAATCCTTAAATATTGCAACTCGAGGCTTCAATTTTTTTCTTCAGTTTTTTCAGCTTGAGAAATTTTCGGCATTGTTCTTCTCTTTTGGTGTTCTGACTCCATGCTTCTGAATATTTCATTATTTTACTTTGTCTTCTCAAGTTTCCCTTTGAAATTTTCTGTTCAGGCTTTTTACTTCATCATTTCCTCCCGTTACTTTAGCTTCTTCATGTTCAAAAGCAAGTTTCAGAGTCTCTTCTGACATCTATTTTGGCTTTTTTTTTTTTTCTTTCCTGTCTTTTTAATGACCTTTTGCTTTCTTCATATATGATGTCTTTTATATCATTACACAACTTTTATGGTCTTCAGTCATTAGTGCCTAATGCATCGAGTCTGTTCTTCAGATGGCCTTGAAATTCAGGTGGGATATTCTAAAAGTCTTATTTTGATTCTCATGGGCTTATTTTAGTTTTGTTCAGCTTCAGCCTGAACTTTCATATAAACAATTGATGGTCTGTTCTATAGTCCACCCCTAGCCTAGTCTTTGCTAATAATATCAAGCTTCTCTATCACTTCTTCCCACAGATGTAGTCAATTTGATTCCTGCATAGTCCATCTGGTAAAGTCCACATATAAAGTCACCACTTTTGTTGTTGAAAAAGATATTTTGCAATGAATAGGTCATTGGTCTTGCAAAATTATTTTCCAAGTACTGATCTTTCCTCTTTATTTCCAACTTTTGCATTTCAATCACCAGTAATTATCAATGCATCTTGATTGCATGTTTGACCAACTTTTGACTGAAGAAGTTAGTAGAATTCTTCAATTTCCTCATCTTTAGTTTTAGTGATTGGTGAATCAATTTGGATAATAACAGTGCTGTTTTTTGTTATTGCTTTCTGTGCTTTTCCTAGCAGCCTCAGCTTTACATAAGTGTGCTTTTTAGTCTATCTCTCTTCTTTCACTCCTGAGCATCTGCTTTCTCTCCCTTTTCCTTACGTCTTCCTCTCCCTTCCTCTTTTCTCCGCAGCGCCTCACCACTAAGATCAGAACTGGCCACTCTGTGATACTGAATAAATATAACCAAAATGTCTGTGACATTTACTAATAAAGGCTTTTGATTTCCATTCTTGGTTTTTAAAAATGAAAGCTTTTTTGCTTTAAAATGAAGACTATGTTTTAAAATTAAGTGGCTCTTTATTCTTCTGAGAATAACAAGAACTTAAAAGGTACTTGGATAAGATCCACAAAATGCCATACCAAAGTAGCACTGTACCTCATTGTTGACTTGCCATGCTATGGTTGTAATAATTGTGTGCAATTCTTCACAGGTAACAAAAGAAAACAAAAACAGGTTTCCTGGTGCTCAAAAACATGGAGGATGGATTGTGGATAACTGCCCTTTGACAAGGGATCTGTGGTTAGCCTTAGTCGAGAAAGGAATTTTACCGGATTTAATCATCTTTCTATCAGATTCGGAAACCCATGGTTGGTAAACATTTGTCATTTAAATTTTGAAATGAATTATCAATCGGTGATAATATATTTGGTTAAAATAAAGAATGGATACAAATACCACCCCAGAAATTTCTGCAGTTTCTGCAAATGCAACATGAGGTTTCTGTCTACTGAGTAGGTGGCAAGAGATAGCATCCAGGAGAACCACTGGAAGTTTCCAAAGGTTTTTATAATTTTTCTTGGAAGCTCCCACTCCTCTGTTATCAACTTGGTTAGGTTCCAGAGACCAGGTCACTATACACAAATTGCGGATGTGCAATATGGAGGATGACCACATCAGATCACAAATTAAAGGATGGTGGCATCATTATGAAACTGTCAAATTTCATCATTGCCTAACTGCTCAATTATACCATCACAGAACTGCCAAAAGTGCTGAGCATCATGGCCCAGCCAAGTTGGCCCAATAACCTTCACCATCTCACAGCCAGCGTTACTCTCACCTAGCACCACAGCCTCTGTGCTGTCAAACATACATCTTTACGGTGCAAAACTAAGCAGAGAGTAATTTTCTACTATTATAGTGAAGACAAAATGTTGATAAGTGAGGAGAAGGTATATAAGGGAGCCCTGGTGTGGTGCAGGGAAACCTGGTGTGGCACTATAGGATAAGCACTGGACTGACAACCACAAAGTCGGTGGTTCAAACCTACCAGCCACTCCTCAGAAACCCCATCCAGGGTCACTGTGAGTCAGAACTGATTCAACAACATACAACAACAAAGTATATAAGGCTCTTGGTAAAAGACAATGTTTATGAGTGTTATGATTTTTTTGCATATAATACAGTCACAGAAATAATGCACAATGTATGTAACATACATAGTGCACGGATGCACAAGGGG